ACTGGCCTCTCAACAAAGATTTTCTGCAACGGCTCACTTACTAAAAGCAAACAGAAACAAAATAAACAACCAGTTACCAAGTCCACAGGATACACAATGTTTTTACAAAATCAAATGGATCCACCATATCATGCTCTAATTCCTAATCATATAATTCTCGTGTCAATTTTGAGCTAAAAAGGTTATTTCTTGAACACCAAACTGTGCTTCCATCACTCTATAGCAATTAAAACATAGTATTAACTAGTAATCAAGTAAATAAGTAAAAGAGCAAAGATTGGAGAGAAATTGCACAAGCTAACTCACAAAATACCTTGATGTACTCATAATGACCCGAAGCACACTGTTCTTTACAACTCACACAGACTACACTTTCCTTCTTCTGCTGCTCCACCAACTCCCCATAAACATCCAAATACGATGCCATAGGCGAAAACTTTAGTATATTATCCACCGTACCACCACCCCTCCCCCTTCCACCACCTCTGTCCCCTATGATAACCGGTGAAGGAACCGGGGCAAGGGGTTTCAAAGAATGAGGAGCTGCCACAACCCTAACCCCATGTGGGGCCCCTTCTTCAACCCTAATCCTCCACTTCTCATCCTCCTTATCCACTTCCGCTGGTGCGTCAATAGCAGCCGGCGTTTCAGCATTACTAGGGTCAAAATTAATCAAACCCCACTTCTCCAAAAAGGTAAACACCTTGTGTAGCACACTTATATCACCCACCAACCACTTCCGGATATCCGAAAACGAAAGCCTTCGAGTCGGATCCTCACGGTATGAGGTAATCATGTAGTCCCTGTACTCTTTGTAGATTCTGGGTGTCCTTGAAATCGAACTGCCATCAAAGAATTCTCGCAATGAAAGCCTTTCCACCTCATGTATGCTTTGCCAAGAAAACCAACCTTTTTTCAATTCACACAAAGAAAAATGCAGAAATTAGAGCCATTTTCAGACAAATAGAGAGAGAAGGGAATTGTGGGTTTAACTTACTGGTGTAACTAGGGATTGTATAAAGGTCGTGAGTGGGTTCATTGGAGGATTTATACAAGCGAGATGTGTCCATTGTTAAAACCTCTGCATTTGTTGAGTGGCGACCAGGAATTTCACCATGTAAAAATGATGCTAGCAGCCAGCAGAAGAGGAAGTGCACAAATAGCCCTTTTAGGACTCACTATTTAAAATATAGTCGGAGTTTATATAAAAAAAAATTAACATTTAACCATGATATCGAATTTGAAGTTGACGTTGGCCTAACATATAAGGGCCCTTAAATGAAAGATATGTGGCATTTAAATCCATCCATTATTATTTAAAAACTACGTAAATTATATGTGGTTTGCACGGGATTAAACTATTTTATTAATCTTACATATGATCATTCGGTAACATTCGTAATTTCGATACATACACTATATTATCAAAATACATTTTATCTTAAAGCAAAACGTTCCTCCGAAATCTTAAAGTGCTATATTTTTTCAATTTTCATTTTTGTTATATAAAAATAACAAAAATTATGAGTCATATAGAGATTTAAGTATAAGAAAGAAGTATCACAGAGACAAGTAGCAAAGTGTCATGACCCGATTCCTCGAGTCATGATGACACCTACTATAACCCACCAGTAGGTAAGCCAACCCGTAACCCGGAACAACAAGTAATGGGTCTGAGGGCAGAAACTAAACAAGAGTAGGCAAAATTTAGGATAACAATATACACAAGCGGAAGGAACCCAAAACATAAATACAAATAAAGATCCCTCCCAGAACCTGGAAGTCACTAGTACAGAGCTACTGACAAAACGAGTGCAAGTCCCAAAAGTGGACCACAGAGACTGGACTGTCTCGAAAGGTAAAAGACAAGTCTATATATACAGATGGAGACTGAAATAGCACAAAACGTCATGTGCTCACCCCCGTCTCCGGATAAGACTACTCCAAACTAGATCAACGTTGGCCACTGGTGTTCGGACCTGCATCACGAAACAGATGCAGAGTGTAGCATGAGTACCAAAACAGCAGGTACCCAGTAAGAATCATAGGCCGACTGAACTTGAAAAGTAAAGGCAATATGAAAAGAAGGAATAACACAAATAGAGGTCAAGAGCAAAAATCAAAGTAACAATGGAATGCACACGAGTGTAAAAAGAACTAACTAAAGTAATCTATAACTAACTACACCTAACTGGACCCCCATAAACCCAGAAGGTACACTCGTGTGCAGGTTTAATTAAAACTCGAACGGACCCCCATAAGCCCGACGAGTACACAGAATAACTATAACTAAAGAGAACTGCATATGAGAACCCAAAAGCGAAGAACCTCAACCCCAATGAGTAGAATCTGACAGTACGAAGGCCGGACCTCGAACCGGATGCTCACCAAAAGTACCCAAGTAACCAATCACAAATATCAAGTAACTGAGGCCGGACCTCTAACCGGATGCTCTGTATAAGTATTTGAGCGATAGAGGTCGGACCTTAAACCGGATGTTTTATATAAGTATCTGAGCGATAGAGGCCGGACCTTAAATCGGATGTTCTATATAAGTATCTGAGCGATAGAGGCCGAACCTTAAACCGGATGCTCTATATAAATATCTGGGCGATAGAGGCCGAACCTTAACGGATGCTCTATAAAGGTACCAATGTAGCTGCTGAAAGAGTCTCAATCGATCCATGCTCATAAATGTCTGTGGAGCACCGTCCACACTTAGCCAATCAATGTAAGTCCTTGGAACCGAATCAAAAATCAAATTCAGATCGCGAAGCAGAACTAGTGTCGCCGACGTTAACTCGTGAAGCTGTAACATCGGGGAAAATAAGGATAGCTATCGTCGAAGCAAGCGTATCGTCTAACTAATGCCCAAACTATCAGACTCAAGTCTACTACACCAGTCTACAGGGATCTAAGTCGGCCAAGCGACGTCGGGGTAAAACTAAGGCCTATCAGATCCGAATCATGTATTTCTAAGGCAAGCCCTACTCAAACCTAAACTAAGGCCCAACATGCTTCAGATAAACAGTAATCAAGCATTCAAGCACTCCACATAGCAAAAAGGGTCAATTAGTAACACATAGCATGCTCACAGTTACTCGATAATTCTCGAAAGAGGCCGAAACATGATTTCTAAACACCTATGCATGATTCAATAATTACCAACCCTAAATCCCAACTAATCAACATGCATTTACACTCTCGAGCTCAATTTAAGAGAATGAAGTTGTAGCCTACCTGTAGGTCGATCACGCGTGCCCCCAAAATCACTCCTCCGGAGCTCTTCCTTTCCGAACTGCCTCGAAATGCTGCCACGCAGAACGGGCGGTCTACAGTAAATTCCGACAACACCACAACGCTCTCCTCGAAAAACCCCTCAAAATAGACTCAGGAATCGCTGAATTCGGACCTCGAACGGGGACCCCAAATCAGATTCCGAGCTCACCAACGAGTTGTCCTCAAAAAATCTCACAACTTTGCCTTTTGAATTGCCCAGATTGGAGCTCCAAAGCTCAAGTTATCGCACTTTAAGAAAATGAGAAATAAAACTAAGTTGGGGTTTTATAAAGGGCGAAACTGGTCGCTAAAAACCCAAAAGCTGGTCGTTAAAGGCCCAAACTCTGGTCGCTAAAGAGCTGCACCAGATCTCAGCTTTGGCTAAATTCTTCAAAGTCTCCGACCGGGTGCTCGGAATTCGTTTGGTACCCGATAAAAAAAAAACAGATATGCTACCCTACTAAATTCGACATTCCGGACTCAACGGCGCAGTCAAAATTTCCATCAGAGGTCATCTCGATAAAAAGTGGGTCCCACTTCCAAAAGCCATTTTAACCAAAATCCATCGAGGGGCACGGAATGAGTCCGGAAGCCTCGAGAGTCGAACGAAAGGTCGTTCTAGACCAAACTCAACATTCCGAAGCTAACTGCGCTAATGGAGTTTTCATCCGAGCGCGTTTTTCCAAGAATGTTGACCAAAGTCAATCTTAGGCCAAATTTCAAAGGTTAAAACGCCTAATGATCCAAACTCTCATCGAAGGCCTCAATACTCGTGTCAACTATGCTACTAGCTTAATTTGGCCATTTCGGAGCTGATGGAACCATCAGAATTCTATTCTGAGGTCATCTTCTTGAACTATTGATAAAAAATGACCGTTTAAGGTTCATAAGCTACAAAACACTAAAACTCGCACCATAACCAAACGAACGGCAAGGTGACCGAACTGTCAGTCCCAGCAAGTCATAAATGACTTGGGGTCGCTACAGAAACGCTCTAAACGACACATATAAGGCAAGATGCAGAAATGACCAGGAGGGTCATTACACAAAGACCCCCTTTTTCTTTAGGAGCTTCCATAATGGCTATAAAAAATATTATATACATCGTGAAAAGCTATTAAATTCAACATTTTTAAAGCATGAACGTGCAACTTAGTTTGATTTATTTACCTTAATATGTATTCTGAAATAGGATGGTCAACAGGTCAAGTCATTTAGTTTTTCATCTCAATTTGAACATTATTTTTTATAATAAATTTATATATTTACAAATTGTGTTAAGCTATAGAGTTTGGATCTTTTTCAAGTTAAGAATTTGAATTTTTAACAAACAAGGATGAGAGACTAGTTTTATTTGGGTATAGTCTTTGCAGAGGAACAACTCTGTATAGTGCACATCTCCTCTTGATTTCGCAAATCACTACTTCTATAAAACGATTATATTTACCCGTGTATGGTATCGTAAATTGAGAACAATGTTTTTTAGCTTTCGAATGTAATGTCATATAAAACAGTAGACAGATAGGTGTAATTTATCATTTAAAACCATTTTGGAACTAGGTTAGTCAAACTTAGACTTAATTTATGTGAACTATCATGACAATCGCTCCAATCTCAACAGTTTCATTGGCATTTCTGGAAAAATTTAAGAACCTCATTGGAAGACACATTTATCTATGTTTTCCCAAATCTGTCTTTGATTTTTCATTCGAGAACTTTGGTAACGAGAAATCCATTTTCTAAGAAAATCTTCTTTTTTGGCGCAAAGAGATACAGGTATCACCAAAACAATAGTACAAATATTAGAGAATATGCATGCACTCTCTTTGTTCCAGTATCTATCAACAGGGCAGTGGCCAGTGCTTGACTGGGGAAAAAGACGCTGCAAGACTGCCCTTCGTTACAACTCCCAACCTCCATTCCCAGTTAAATGAATCGTTTTCTCCTCAAAACTGAAAATTAGTTAATCTTCTTAAACCATTGGCATCTAGGTATGTACAAGTGCCATCTTTTATCAGAAACAAACTAAAGTGCTACGAACAGCCTCAGAAACCAGGGAAGCAGTAGTCTCATCACCAACACTTATCGTGGTTTGAGTTGATGTAACCTCTATCAAGGCTTCATTGGGCTCCGAGATGAATATAAGTGATACATTTTCTGATCCATCAGTATTCTGGGCATGCTGTGCAGCTACTTTCATACCCATCTTCTTTAAAGCCATCAGAAGGGAGTCCAAGTCAACTCTACCCAGAAATAGCAATGGCCTAACTTGTGAAGAAAGCACTTGCTTGTTTCTAAGAACACACCGATACTTTCCCTGCTCAATGAGCAACTCTCCCTTTAATCTTGCAATATTTTTTCCCTGTATCATTTTTGTATCAATGAGCAGCTCAGAAGCCATGTCCATGGCAATGTCCATATCGGCAAATGTTTTCAACTTGGGCACAACTACAGTTTCATTTTCGGAGAAACTATGGACTGAAAATTTGGGGTTCCAACAGCTAATATGGGGCCTCAAACTCTCAGGGACCTGAAAAGAGCAAGAGAGGCAGAAGTTATAGAAATATATTGAACAGTTCAGTTTCTTAGAGCAGAAGAGAGAGCCTACCAGCACATGTTTAGGTTGTAATATCTTTAGTAAAGGTATAGCTTTCTTTAGCCTGCAAACAGAAAATGAAGTTTGTATTTGTAATGAGACGAGCCAGAAAGGTAATTGAAGAGCTACAGATCTGTACCTACTTGAAATAAAATAGAAACAATCACTCGAGTGAACTTGATAATTATACAACATACTCAATGAGATCTCACAATGGGGCCTGAGGAGGGTAGAGTGTATGCAAACCATACCCCTACCTCGTGGAGATAGAGAGGTTGTTTCTGGAAGACCCTCAACTCGAGTACAACAAAACAAGGTAGGTATGAAAAAGGAAAAAACAACAATGAAGAAAACATAGCAACTAATAAGGAATTAGACAACAAAATAATGCGATAACCGAAACACAATAAACAATAAACAAATGATGATAGAAATCAAAAGCAATACACTACAAGAATAAGGCTAATACTACGTCAGACAACACTCCACTACCTACTAACCTTCTACCCTAATCCATAACCTCCACACCCTTCTAAGGTCATGTCACTCATGTACTCTATAAGCTGAAGTTGTGCCATGTCTTGTCTAATCACCTCTCCTCAATACTTTTTCTAGACTGCCACTACTTCTCCTCATACCCAATATATCCAACCTCTCACACCTCCTCACTGAGGTATCTACATATCTCCTCCTCACACGCCCAAACCATCTCAACCTTGCTTCCCTCATCTTGTCCACCACGGAGGCCACTTCCATGTTGTCCCAGATATCTTCATTCCTAATTTCATCGTTCCAAGTATGCCCACATATCCATCTTAGCATACTCATTTCTGCAACTTGCATCTTCTGAACATAGGAGTTCTTGACTAGTCAACACTCTACCCCTTGCAACAAAATTGGTCTAACCACTACTCTGTAGAGAAAATGACTAAACCACTATACCACCTCCCCAGACTCCTTTAAATGAGAAATAAACCAGTAAACATTTCAACTTTATTGTTTGCTGGATAAATCAACTCACACTAAAAGGGATCGGTTCCTAAACCATCCAGGAGCGCAATCTAATGGTTCTTCATTAATTCCAAAACTCTACTATAAAGTTCCTAGAAAAGATAATCATATGGTAAGCAGTAAAGTGACTTTCGATCAAACATTCTCTACTTTTCCAACAAACATCCTTTATCTGCTTCTTTTTCATAAGGCACCTCTTAATCCTAGTTGCAAATTTAGTGAATAAACTACACATATAGCACCAAACCTATAAAGAGTGTGCTGTCTGCCACACATGAGATAGGGGATCAAAAAGAGTAAGCTTACTTTATTCCAGAGATGAATGAACATTGAAGGACCTTCATTGACATTGGCTCAAAAGGCAACAAAGCCAACTTGATATCAGCTCTTTCCTGTGAAATGTGAGACATTAAAAATATAGTCAAGCCTCACATTAGTCAAACAACCAGGTGCATAAGATCTGAAAATATGAAAAATCATATAGCAGTTAGGCACCTCAATGATAAGCAACGAGTTAGGATCTGCACACCAACGTTGAAGGAGATGGACAACAGGGCCAAGTCGCAAACTCCAGTGAGGACAGAATACTATGCAAGGTTCCTGCCAACTTGTTCTAAACACATAACATTAGACTATGCCAATGATGTTGACAGTCACAGACAACAATGAAGTCAAAAGATGTAAAAGGATAGAAAAGTGTAATAACGATAAAATACTGTCTACGGCAAGCTTCTTAAGCAGGTTACTGTGCTTATTTCTTTAGCTTATATCTTGACATGAGGGGACAGAGTATATCTTACAGGAATTTTGATGAATGTATTGCAGGAGATACGAAGAGCTTTTTCTCGTTTGACAGCTGAATATGCGTGAATAGTGGTTGCCCAGAACAAAACTGTGGATCCACAACATAAAACAAAAGGAAATACATTATCTCTACTTGTGACTTTAAAAAAAAGATGGTAACAGTGACTTGTGACTTCTGTTTTAACAGCAAAGGATTAAAATCACAAGATTCATAGTGATAATCAGTTAATGTAGTACTCTTTCTTGCAGTTGACTGGACAGCCATTCAGGTATGATATTGGAAAATGCCAACAACTCTTCCGCCACAGAAGAAACAAAGTATATAGGAACCTACAGCACACAAACATCCAGTTTATATACATGAAAAACATATTTCATCTGACGCAAAGTTAGGTATCCACAACCAACTGTACTAAAATTAGATACGAAAACAAAGCAAAACTTAAGAATTGGAGGACTCTTGTCCATGTGCATTGATCAGAGACAGATTCAAAACTAACTTTTTGCACAACGGATGGCAATTGTCCACAAGTGCATCTAATATCTGGGAGACAAAGTCTCTCGATGCTCATTCCTTCACACTATCAGGATTACAATTAATATTAACTCTGAATTTATATCTCCAATAGCAAGTCCAACAAACCGCACTGGAAGATATGGGGACAAATGCTATGGATCTCCCCTCACTAAAAGTAAACTCAATTTTCATACCGATTAAGAAAAGATAGTCTCATGTTTCAGAAAATTCCTGGAGATCGTTGAACTCAAATTCCAATAAATTATTAAGATGAAAAGAAAAAAAGAAAAAAAATTGTTGAAGTATTTGGCTAACAACATAAATACTTATTGTGAGAAATATTGAAAAAGAATATTATTGAATTGTTGTTGTTGTTTACATTATTACATTGAGACCCTATTTATAGACTCTAGAATACAATCATTTACCAAGTAGGATACTATTTAGTATTCCTATTTCTATTTCTATTCCTATTCTAATACGATTGTATAAACCTATTCCTATTCTAACACTCCCCCTCAAGTTAGTGCATACAATTCATGTACCTAGCTTGTTACAAATGTAATTAATACGAGGACCGATGAGGGGCTTGGTGAGATATTTGCAAGTTGATCACTCTACTTCACAAAATTGACAATCAATCTCAATGTGCTTGGTCTTCTCATGAAATATTGAATTTGATGCATAATGCCGATAAAACACAGAGTGATAAAATTACAGTGTTGAACTTCCCAAACCAAACTTGCAAAGACTGTTTCAGACCATAGAGTGACTCACATAATCGACATACAAGGCTACTAAACTCCACCTGAGCAACAAAGTGCTCAAAATCTAGTATAAAGTATATGGATCATGTTGGAATTAATAGATGAATCAATATTAAACAAGAAAGTCACCGCAAAATTGGCCGGAACATGCTCATACGCTGGAGTATTAGATTTGATGGCCGAAAGTGGTCACAATCTAAAAAATAAAATTATATGGGTAGGGTCGAAATGATGGACGCCCCAACTAGAAAATAGAAATTATATAGGAAAGGTTGGATTGATGGCACAACCCTATTGAAAAAGAGAAATAATATGGGTAGGGTCGAAATGATGGACGCCCCAACTAGAAAATAGAAATTATATAGGAAAGGTTGGATTGATGGCACAACCCTACACAAATCAGATTTGAGGAGTCACCGGAAAGACGAATGAAACTACGCAAATCAAGTCTGAGGAGTCACTGAAAAGACACACGGTGCTATGCAACTCAGATATGAGAAAGTAGTTCGTAAAATTTCACGGTACTACGCAAACTAAATATGAAAAGTAGTCTGGAGAGATGCACGGTGCTGCACAAATCAGATATACAATAAATAAAAAAAATCATCGGAAGGATGGCACGGTGCTACACAAATTAAATATGAAAAAGTAGTCACCGAAAAGATGGCATGGTGCTACACAAATCAAATATGAAAAAGTAGTCACCGGAAAGATCACACGGTGCTACACAAATTAGATATGAGAAAGTAGTCACCGAAAAGATGGCACGATGCTACATAAATTAAATATGAAAAAGTAATCACCGGAAAGATGGCACGGTGCTACACAAATACCGACGGATATGGGGTTGACACAAAACAGCCCTAGAAAGTCACCGGAAATTGATGCACGGTGACATGTTTGTCTAAGTTTCTTCCCTTGAATATGGGGTTCATGCATGTATCATTAGTCTTACTTTTGTTAACATAATCATTGGCCAGACGGGTAGCATATATGGGTAATAGCCACCCGCCGGCAGTGGAAGCTCTTTGATTCTTTACCAAGATCGTAGGCTCTGATACCATGTGAAAAATATTGAAAAAGAATATTATTGAATTGTTGTTGTTTACATTATTACATTGAGACCCTATTTATAGACCCTAGAATACAATCCTTTACCAAGTAGGATACTATTTAGTATTCCTATTTCTATTTCTATTCCTATTCTTATTCTAATAGGATTGTATAAACATATTCCTATTTTAATAGGATTGTATAAACCTATTCCTATTCTAATAGGATTGTATAAACCTATCCCTATTCTAACACTTACATAGGATTTTTGAGTTACATCAAACAAAGGCAAGTTTCCTAATTATTGAGATTCTTTTTGAACTTGGTAACTTTGTATTATATCACAAAACAGTACATGGGTCGTACTGTAACCTTATATACAAGAGTACTCCTGATTTCAACTTCTCTACGTCTAAAATTGAGTCTAACACATCAATCATAGAGACAGTGTCATTAGAGTATAATTGATTACACCAAAAGACTAAAAGTAAAATGCAATTTAGTTTAACTTTCTGCACATTGTTCTCTATGCTCTCAAAACATCTTGAATTCCTTTCTTTCCAAACAGCCCACCAGATAGCCCCCGGGATAATTCTCCGTCTACCTCTATCCTTGGCATGTACACCTGCTTCATAATTGTTGAGATTCTTGATAGGAAATAGTAATAGTTAAGATAGTGTACACTTGACTAACATAATTGTTACAAATATTTTACACTCCCTCAGTCCCATTTTATGTGGCACCCTTTAACTTGGCACAGTGTTTAAGAAAAAAAGTCTTTTGAAATTTGTGGTCTAAAACAATCTTTACATAATTGTAAGCAAAAAAATAGGAGGCATCAATCAGGAAAGATATTCCTAAAAAATACTCTGCTATTTTATTATAAACACAGTTGCTTCCTTTCAAGCAGTAAATTGCTCTTCTGCATTCTAGATATAATTCTTTTCGAACTAGTAAAAATGGCAGCAAACAATCTATCTTTCCTTTTCTTTTCAAGTCAGAATAATATATCTAATCCTTATCATGTATAACTTGAATATTATTCCACTTTATGCTTCTCAAGGTGAAAATTCTCAGCACTATCTGCATTTTCCACCCCGATACTGCAAGAAAAGGGGTCTAAGGAACACAATCTTGGTACTGTTTTTTGGCTAAAAATACCGATCTTCTAGCGTAAATTGATGTGACAATCACCTAATCACTTGTTGAAGAATTGATATAACTGCACAAACATGCAATCTTACAACATACCTTTAAATTTGAAGATTCTAGTGAAAGTGATATGTTCTCCAACAGCTGCAACATGACTCCGGGCCGTCCAATGGGAATAAGGACTGATCCTCCATCACTAATAGTGTCCAACGCACAAGAACATATAAAAGATACTTTTTCCATCTCTTCAGAGTACTCATCTGAATCAAGCCATGATTCAGGTATTGTTTCCCAACAACTACCAATATTACTGCACGTGTGCCAAGTTTCAAAGATCATTACTTCCCTTCCAGAAAATATGTAATGGTATGGAGGAAGATGAATAAAGATGAACCAAACGATGGATGGAGAACAGGAGAAGATAATCTTTGAAAGGAAAAAGAGAAAAAACCTAGCCTATAAATCTTATCTCACATATGCATGCCGGACAGCTTCAGTAGTATATAATATTTCATATAATACAAAAGGAATGTACCTTGAATAGGAACTGCCAGTAGCAGGAGGGAAATCATTCTTTTCACCATCAACATCATTGCAGGCTGTGAAGTCTGAATATAATAGAACATCACTTCTTTCAAGAGCTTTGTAATCGAAACTGGTTGCAGTTGCTGATGCAAAAACAGAGCCAGAAAGATAAATAATGTTTCCTTTTGGACTTAGAATATTCCAATTACAAGCACCTATCTCTAAACCAGAACTCAATGCTTTTATGGTCAATGAGCCATTATAGTAGGCTTCTTCAGCATACTTAAGGAATTGAACCTTCTCCATGCAACCCTTCATATCAGCTGCACTGAAATTTTTCTTATTACTTGCGGATCAACAAGCATCAAACCATAACAAACACATAGAACTTAGTTTCTCTGTTTCCTTTTTCATTTTTGACAACTGGCTATGAGCACCAGACTGGGACTGACTGCTACATACTTTCCACTCTTATCCCAAGCTGAAAATCAATACTATTTTCATGTCGCAGTGTAATGCCCACTCTATTGAGCAGACAACTCATTTGCAAAAGCATATCCTCAAGTTCATAGAAATAATTGAAGACTATGACTTAAACTAGTATATCGAATTTAGGATGAAAATAGTGTGTGCTTGCATTGGTGGAAAAAATTATGAGATCCCTGAATCATGTGTTCCTCATTTTTTTAAGGTACGTTATTTCTCTGTGTTTGTATCACCTAGAACATTTACATCCAAGTCCATCCTACAAAAAAAAAAAGCACAGCTAGCATTTTAAAACATAGGTGCAAGTAGCAGACTAGTTCTAGTAAGTTGGAACACACTAATTGATGAATCACAAGAAATGTGACAAAATAGATCTTTCAATTAAATGAAATAAGAAGTGTTACCTGTATATGGACATCCATCCACCGAGCTCTGTCCTTTCACTGCCTAAAACAATATCCTTTAGTGCCCTAGGAAGTAGTTCAAGTTTTTCCCATGTCATCCATTGAGGGCAACCAGATTCTTCAGGTCCATAGAATTGTCTCAACTCCATATGCATGGAAATAAGGTCCTCCATCATCAGTTTCCCTAGTCTGGAAGCTGCTTCTGTTGCATATATCTAATGAGATAACCACATTAAAAAAAACATTTACCAGCATAAGGTTCATTGTATTTATAAATGCAAGAAAATATCCTTTCTATCACCTTTGCTCTGAAGTCTTTGAGGCGGGTAAGAAAAGGTAACCCTAGCATACCCATAGGACTTGAGATTAGTACCACATCTATGGAATAAATACTCCAAAGCTGCAAACTTTTCACAGTTTTATACCAAGGCTCAGCCTGTATCAAATTTTTGGAATGAAGAAGCTCCGAAACTTCCTGTCTTACAGACTCTGAATTTGATGAACTTTGGCCGCTATGAATAGAAGCTTTCTCATCAAGCAGGGAAGAAATAACAATTGGTAGGGGAGAAAATACAGCTAGGGCTGAAAGGTCCAAAGGGCAGTCAAGTAACACCTGGAAACCACATATATTAACTATGTGGCATGGTGGGAAATAGTAGCCCCTGCCCTCACTTAAACATGTCTGCAAATGTTGGATTCCATGAACATGATGTCAGTATGTACTACAATTATATGCAGGCACGGCAAATATGCAGAGAAGGGAAGAGACTTACAAACTTCATGGAATTGAAGAGTGCTAAAGTTTCTCAGCAACCAGGATATCTTAATGTTCCAAAGGATATCAGCCTATAAAAGAAAAAAATAATAGGAAAAAAAGGAACTTAATAACACTAAAAGGTAGTATAAAAAAAGTAGTATAAAGTAGTGGCAGCTCATGATTCCAGGAACAGTCAGTTCAAAACCAAGAACAGCAGAAACTACTCTTTCTGTTTGATAACAGTAGTGTCCGGGCCAGCTTGCCCGTACCTCTACTAATTCCACAAGATACTTGCTACCTCCATCAGCAAAGGTACCAAGTAACTCTATCCACCAAGGCTTAGACAGATGGCAAGAAATCACCTAATGTATTTGCCTTCGTTGGGATTTGAACCTGAGACCTCATGATTCTCAATTCATTTCATTGACCTCCACGCAACAACCTTGGGTGAGCAAGAATGGCACAAGCTACATGAAAGCAGCAATATGGATCTTTTGTTTTAATACTAGGAGGATTAGATCTTTCAAACCTCTTTGTATTCCCTGTTAAGCGAACAAGTTTATTGGGTGCACAGTTGATGGAGGAAATTAAGTCCATACCTACTACCAGTAAGAAAGTCCCTATCAAAAAGGGAGCAGGCATTGGAAGAAGTACTGATTTGGCGGTCTCCTTGCACCCAACAGAATACCACAAAAAATTGCAGATATAAACAACCAGTTGAACCAAAAATCTAAATAAAAGGATCACTTCCTTCATATCACTGATTTCATTCTACAATTATCCTGTTTTTTCCTATCTCATTGTTGTTGCTGATGTAATGCCCCATGAGTCCATGGTTTCACTCTCTTCTTTTTCTTCACTTTTTTATAAAGCCCGCATTTACACTTGGAATTTTTGAAATTCAGAATTGACCCTTCGAAGTATACTGATCAATCCTCCAATAGTATAAAATGGTATACCATATAGATGCTCTACTAATTTTCTTCTTATTTGCTATGGATACTAAGCTATGAAACCTCTACTATGTTTTTCATTGCCTTTTTTTCCTTGGTCGTGTGCTCTATTTGTGTCCATCAGCAGAAAATCTTAAGGATAGTGAACTTTGGGATTCCTTGAATCCAACAGAAAATTTGGCCTATCAATCTGAATAGAAATGTGTAGAGCTTAAGCATTGGAAACTCTCCCCCACCCTTTGAAAAATATACAGAGATTATTATTCAAATTTTGGTGGGATTACATTACACTCATGTTTGGTTTATTCAAGTCAAAAGAACATCAGCAAATAGAGAATCCTTCTTTTTGGATGGCTTTAATCTATATAAAATACTGCTATGAGAGGTGAACTTTCAGGCGGCATGCATTTACATCAGCTATTTAGCAAACAAAAAAGGGAAGTGCAATAACAATTACACAAAATATACACTGCAAGATGCTTATAAATGAATCTCCAGAACACACATCCTTGCAGAACTCCTAGACGGAAAATCAGTTTCGCATTTTGTTATCCTAAGCGAAATAGAGACTTGAGGTATTGTTTCACACATATTGTCCCCAAAAAACATGGCAGAAAGTTTCAACCAGAATCTGAAATACACACCCCATATTTATCATGCTCATACCTCAAAACAATTTAGACAAACATTCTAGAGCCTAGATTAGTTTAAATATCTCCTAAAAACAGACAATTTTGAAGGGGAATCAGGAAATGGTGATTTTGCTGTTATAGGGCTTTTTTTCTCGGACAAAATGAGTACCACAAAACCAGGGAAGATGCTGAAGTTGAATGAACATTATCTTCACTTAAAATCAACAATAATCTGCCAGTATTTGGTTGGCAGCACTGAACTTGGTGAACTCCGACGGAGAGAGGGTGAAAGGGTTCTGAATGGGAACAAAGAGGAGAGAAATGAGCCAAAAGAGGGGGTGGGGAATTATTTTTTTCAGGGAATAGCTGAAAAGGGTTCAATATTTCGTTTATTTGAATTTCCAATTAAGTTGGTTTATATGGTGAGCTAGCGAGAAATTATCAGGAAAAAAATCTAGCGAGATATTAATTTTGGTTTTGTGACAAGCATGTTCAATGTATCAAAATGTGTCTTTGGGGTTTATTTTGGAACGTGAAATCACCAATAAACCCATGCAGTCATGCTTACCCCAACAAAATAAAGGCGGAATGCAATTGTAAAAACATTAAGCATTCATTTGACTCCGCAAGTCATTCATGATAAACTTCATTTTCAGACTGAATTATAAAATAAGAAAACAGTTCAAAAAAAAATGGAACTGTTAACTTTTAAGTTGTAATAAGGAAAACAAGAAAAAGTAACCAACTAGATAGATGCATACAATTAGAGCTACGAATCTGCTTGATAGAATCTCAATAACAACACAAACTAAACATCCTCAAATTCTCTAAGGGTTGTTTGGTTTGCGAACTAAATTATCCCATCCCACGTGAGAGGCGGGATAAAATAACACCTAGTTAAATGGGATAAATTGAGATATCCTGGATCAAAATACTTTGTTATTTGGTTGAAGGTATAAATTTATCCTGTTATCCCGGGAGAAATTTATAACTTGAACGAAACAAAGTATAAATTTATACCAAAACTTAATCATAGATACTCCATATTATCCAATGAACCATACCACTATAGAACATTACATTAAACTATTGAAGTGTGTGACCATGATCCGTTCGTTCGTAGAGCTATTTACTCAATCGCAGACATTTCTGGAACAACTCTAACAGGGACAAATAGTCAAGCAATTGTTAAAGAGAGAACACACTTTTATTTACTTAATTGTACTCTCAACAAAAAACCAAACCTTTGCAATCATAGATTATTAAAACAAAAGATTAATAGAACTCTGGAAGAAAAAAATGTGTAGAGAGAGAGAGAGAGGGAACGTACCGTAGTAGCCGTGAATAGAGTTGACGGCAACAGGCAACCGGCGACCGGCAACGAGAGCAGTGAACCCGAGAACTTACTGTCTTTGGTACTAGGGCTTTAATCCCAATTCTCAATCAGGGCATCAGGTTTTCTTAAAATAAATAAATAAATAATAATTAAAAGCGCGCCAAAAATTTGAGCAATTAATCTTATATACATATAGGTGTAGTTCCAAATATTCAATAAAAAATTAGTGTAGTGTGCGTATGTGTCAGTGTGACTTAATATTTCTTGTCAAAAAAGTTATATTTAAAAGTAATTATCTTTAAATTAATGCATAATCTTTTTAAAACAAAAAACATCCGTCAGCCGTTGTTTCCGAGACATTATCTATATCTATATCATACTACCTTAAAAGCATGACTCCTAAACTGAATGTTGAATTATTATAATATCCCCAATTAAACATATTCAATTTAATTATTTTTATTGTATTAAAAGTAGATACCCTTTCATATTAAAGGATTGTGATTTTCTCAAAGAGATGTGACTTTTCCAAAAGGTTGCGACTTTTTTGAAGGGTTGTGACTTTTCCGAAAGAGTTGTGCATTTTCCGATGAGTTGTGACTTTTGCAAAAGGTTGTGATTTTTCGAGAAAAGGCCCAAAATAGTCCTTCATCTTTGGGTTAAGACTCAAAGTCATCCTTGAGTTTTCACATGGAGCATTAATAGTCCATCATGTTTGCAATATTGGTGCACTTTTGATCCTCTCCAAAATTTTGCCTATTTTTTAACATTGATTTTATCCATAATTTATGTATGGAATGTTCAATCGTCATTTTATATATTTAGTAGAAATAATAACTCCATGTGAGAAGAAAAACACTTTATTTTGTTTAGTAAAAATCGTATGGCAGGTAAAGTCGAGAGGTTCATCACGACGATTTCACGTGCAATAGTACAAAATTTTCTTCTCTTGCAACTTCATATGTTAAGATGTTCTTAGTTTAGCTGTAGTAATATTTCTACTGAACACAACAAGGTGTTCTTCTTCTCACCTTCTCTCACATAGAGTTATTATTTCTACTAAATATATAAAAAACGATTGGACATTCCTTACATAAAATTGTGGAAAAAATTAATGTTAAAAATAGGCAAAAGTTTAGGGGAGGACCAAAAGTGCACCAATATTGCAAACATGAGGGACTATTAGTGCTCCATGTGAAAACTCAAGGATGACTTTGCGTCTTAACCCAAGGATGAGGGACTATTTTGGGCCTTCTCTCTGATTTTTCCGATGAGCAGTGACTTTTTCAAAAGGTTGTAACTTTTCTGATAAGGAACAATTAACACATATTCATACTACTATTTGTTAGCTATAAATAGAGGGTTTCTTCTCACTTTTAAACTACAATTTTTTAAAGTTTTATATTCTTCTTCTTCTTAAAAAATCTTAGGGTTATTTGCAACAGTTGATTAAGTTCAAAATTCAACGAAATATGAGGTACCATATAAGAAAGAGTTGGTGAACAAATTGTAGCAAATCCTTCATAAATTCACATTTGTATTTTTTCTTATGATTTCCATGAGTTAACTGTGACGAAAAGTTGTGGAAAAGACAATAATAATAAACAAATATGAAAAATGTCATATGATTTGGGTAAGATATTTCTTCTTTGGTTTTTTATTTTTTAGCTTTTTTACCCTCAAATGAAACAGTTTCTTTCTGATTTTGCTAAAACAACGGGCATCAACGTAGTCCATTGAATCATTAGTTTTGATGTTAAATCCATTATTTCAAAATAGATTTTCACTTTTACTTATAATATGATAATATAGACATGATAATAATTATTTTTTAATATATATGTAAGTAAAAATGAACGAAGAAAGTAAAGTGTTGGTGACAAGAGATTTTAATCAAATGGAACACTATAGTGAATATAGCATGAACATATATTTTCGTCTTCCTTCTTCATTGTCTATGTATCGTTTCATATTATTTTTTTTCCTATTATTTTGTGTTCATTTTAATTTGAGAAAATTTTATGTCACAAGATACACTCCTTGTTAGCTATACAAAAATAGATAAGAAAATAGTGATTGATCGTAAAATAATCTCAAATTAAATTAAAGACTCTATAAACAATATTTTAAATTTTATTCATCTATTAATAGTTTAATAGTTTATATCACGATATAACTTCTATAAGATACTAGATACTTTCATTAGGCAACAACTATATGATATGTATGTGGCATGAAAAAGGAGAAGACTACAATTCTACAAATATAAGGTAGAAACTTAAAGAAATGAAATATTTTTCACCAAAGGTGATGTTGTTCATATATTAAAATTAAAAATTATGCCACTGAAATATATATGTATATATAAAACAAAGAATTGGTCAAGCTAAATAAATGGCATACACTCAAACCTCAATTTAACCATCATTCGTTATAACAATAAAGTACCTTTTTTTTGTAGAATTACCTCTCTGTGATAGTCTTACTCAAATATTAATTGGTAAAAGATAGATTACGTATAAAGATAAAATATTGAAATATTTATGGTAATCCTTATTAGTGTCATGCACATACTAAATTTCAAGTATGAATATTTAAGAGAAAAATCATACTTAAATGTTGTCCATCATTTATGTTCATAACCTCAAAAGGAAAGACTATTGGTGACATTTTTGTATTGATATTTTTTTAAAAATTTTGTTGGATATATTTGTTTACAAAATTGAGTGAAGTAAATAATAATACTACTAAAGAAATGTCAATTTCTCCCCATATATAAACTTTGAATGTATTTTGAAATCTATATATATATATATATATATATATATATATATATATATATATATATATATATATATATATATATATATATATATATATATATATATATATATATATATATATATATATATATATATATATATATATATATATATATATATATATATATATATATATATATATATATATATATATATATATATATATATATATATATATATATATATATATATATATATATATATATATATATATATATATATATATATA